CCCCAAAACCCCAAAACCCCAAAACCCCAAAACCCCAAAACCCCATGTCATAGGGAGACCTTGTTCAAAATAAAACAAGTAATTCTTAAATTCAAAATTTATAATAATTTTATTCAAAAATAAACTACGATGTCTGACAACAACGATCATGGAGGACTTCCAGATGACGCTGGGGATATTAATAACTACGATCTGGATGAAGACTTCCCAGAGTATGCCAATGACCAAAATAAGGAGCTCAACCTCATTGTTAGGGAGAAGATTCAGCTCATTCATCATTTAAATATTGAGATCGAAGAGCATAATGAAAGGCTAAAGATTCTGGAGGAGCATCTCAGATCTGTCAAGCAAGAACTGATCCATACTCAAGCTTTGGTTGATAGTAAAAACCAAGCTATTGAGACTGAGGAGCACATGAAACAGATTGCAGAGAGGCAAGCTGGAAGACTCAAGAATGAGCTATCCAAACTTGACCAAAGAGTTGCCGACCAACAGGATAGACTCAACAATATTCAGAATATGATCTTCAAAGCAAATGAGAAAATGGACCAATACAAACTCGAAATGAACTGGAACCAGGAAGAACTTGAGCAATGGGCCCTAGCTACCAGACAGAAAGAGGAAGATAATCTGACTCTTGAAAAATATAGAAGAGCTGATGAGGCCCAAATCAAGGAGCTGACCTTGACCATCGAGAAGCTCACAATTGAGGTCTCAAGAAAGGCCCAAGAACTTGAGAAAGAGGTCACAGAAACTCAAGCTGCCCAAATTGAGCTGGATAAAACAGCTCAAGAATTTAAAAGAGTGCATCAAGAGAGACATAAAATTTACCAGCAATGGAGTGAATCCATCAAGGCTGCCAGAATGGTTGAGGAACAAATCGCCAGTCTTGGAGAAGAATTTGGTAGAGCCAGAGAATATCTCAACAAAAAGAATGAAGACTATGCTGGCACCAACGAAAAACTCAAAAGAGATAAAGAAGAAAATAAAAACCTTGAGTCTGAAATTGCTGTAGAAGAGAGGAATATCTCCAAACTTAGAGAGGACATTGCAGCCAAGGATGAGTTCAAAGAAAATCTCACTGGAGAAGAATCCATTCTGAAGAACAGACTGACTTCATTTGCCACTGAGCTTGCCAATAGGAGATCTAATATTTCTGCTCTCAATTCTGAATTGGAGGCCAAAATGGAAAGACTAGATACTTCAGAAAAGAGATATAACTCTACTAAAGAAAGACTCGAGAAGGAAAGAGGAGCCAAGGATAATCTTGAGGCTGCCAACACTAATGCCAAAGAAGGATACGAAGAAGCCGATTATCTAGTCAATCAAGTCAACAAGGACATTGAATTCAAGAAGAAAGATCTGTTCAACGAATCTCAGATGTTGTTTGAATACAGAGAGAAACAAGCTAACCTCATCAGTGATATTTCAGGAACCCTTTCTGCTACTAGGAACCTCAATGCGAATATCAATAAGCTCAAGTCCGAGAAGCAAAAGCAGAAAGAGCTGTTGTATGATGCCGAGTTCAACATCCAGCAAATGGAGAGAAAAGTTTCACAGGCTAAGGGAGATAAAACCCTTGAAGAGGTGAAAAAGTCCCAAAAAGAGATCGATGAGCTCCAAGAAGCCCTTGATGAACTAAAGGAAAAGCATCACGGTCTAGATAAAGCTAACAAACAGCTAATAGATGAGCTCAGAACCTTAGACAGAAATATCGTCAAGGTTAAGGATGAAAGGTCGAACCTTGAAACCCAAATTAGAGAGCTTGAGCTAGAAAATGAAATGGCTGTGAGTGACCTTGAAAAGATCAAAACGCATAAGGAAAGCACTCTTGTTCAGCACGACGTAATGAAGCTTGAAATCAAGAAGCTAAAGTACACTGTTAATGTAGAATCCGACAAAGTATTCAGTCTCGAAAACAGAAAGTATCAACTTGAGATGAGTATGGAGGAAAGAGAAAAGGAAATCCAGGTTCACAAAGACATCCTAGTCTCTGAGCTCAAAGCAGCTGAAGAAGAGAGACACAAGGTGGCAAAGGAACTTCAAAAGCGTAAAGTCAAGGTCAAGAATCTTCGTGTTAAGTTTGAAGGACTTGTTCAAAAGAACAAGTCATCTAGTGAGGATCAAGACAGTGTTGGAGACCACTCTCAAGCCTATTATGTTATTAAGGCAGCTCAGGATAGAGAAGAGCTTCAGAGATATGGAGATGAACTGGATGGAAAAATCAGTAAATGCGAAAAGGAAATTAAGGCTCTTGAAAATACCTCGAACCATTTGCTCAAAAGAAATAAAAATTACAGAGATAAGTTCTTAAGAGGAGCTGAGGGTGCTGATCTTGAAAAGAAGCAGATTCTTGAAGAACAATGTAGAGCTGCAAGTGAAACTCTGTTTAAGAAGAGAAAAGAAGTCCAAAAACTAAACAAAGAATATGATGATGACATGAGTAGGTTGATGGAAATCCAGACAAGGCATCAAAACTATATGAGGAAAAATGAAGAAATGAACCAACAAAAGGAATATCTCAATAAAGAAATTTCAGAGCAAGGAGGAAAAATAGATAGAGCTGAAAATACAAAGGCTAGCAACCTTGATCAAGTTAAAAGCTCAGTCCCTGATTTCGAGGATTCAACTAGAGCTAAAGATATAGCTCTTGAAGTTGAACAACTCAAGACTAAATACCTAATGAATGCTATTGGGGTCTTGGTAAATGATATGCCAAGCTTGAAAGAAATTCTGGATCATCCTCTCCAAGAAATCGGATTAGATATCCCTCAAGTATCGGAGAGGCCAGGAACTTCTAGCTCTCAGAGAAGTAGAGCTAGCAGAGCTAGTGGTGGTAGCAGAGCATCAAGAGGTAGTGGAGGAAGTAGAATGAGTGGATCTAGTAGGCCAATGTAATTTCTAATCAGAACGGGATTCATTTAAGCTGATTTCAAATATATTAAATTATAGAGGGGTTTTGGGGTTTTGGGGTTTTGGGGTTTTGGGG